GGAGGGGGTATGGGAAACTTTTGGGGAGATGGCAGTGACAGCAGTGATAACAAGGCTCAGGGGGTTCTAGAGGTAAACTCACGACTTCATAACGAGTGGCACAGCAAGTGGTCACTAGTTCCAATAGGAAGAACGAGACGTCAGCACAAAGGACGAGGACGTTGGTAGAGAGTGCCAAGAATGATAACCATAGATGATGGCTGGTAGTAATAATTTTCACGGCAAAATCCAAAAAACTGCTTATTGCTACAGCTATTAGGATTGTTTGCACTCCTCTTCCTTTGTCGGTAGTGGCAACTTATTCAACCGCTGAAGGAATGTTTTCCAATAAAATAGTGGATGTTAGCAGTAGTGTGAGTTTCAATATATAGCGTGATCCTACCACATATGAACGGCAACGTCTGTCGTTTATCTGTCTGTCTGTCCGGAAATTCGGAATCACCTGAAGAGCCAGTTGGAGGGGGCGGGTCAAGGGTGGGTTGGGTAGGGCATGGGCCAAGACACACATGAACTGAGCTAAGCCCCGCCCACTGTGGGCGGGGCGTGCGCACAGTTGTGAGCTACATATTTCAAAAATTCGTAGTTCGGTTCCAAAAGAGCCCGAGAGTGGAAAAAGTGGCAAACGATAGGCAATCAGTTGGCGGACGGAACGAGTGAGACGAACCCATCCTGAGTTTCACAAGAATTGGAGGCGTATTGTATATAAAATATAAGAAAAGTTCTAGACCTGGAGCAAGTTCCATCACAATCATAATTGGCTCTTTTTGTGTAGCCACGCCATACAGTTTTATGACATTTTTGTGTTGAAGTTTCAGCATCACATTGGCTTCTCGTAAGAAGGTCACTCTAAAAAGACAGCAGAACCTTCTCGATAGTTACAATAACGGCCACTCGAAGCCGGATTTATACTTCTTTCCACCCTCTAAAAATTCGGTCTGCGATAGTCGATCAGGTGGGAGACGGGGCAAAGACTTATAGGCACCATGCGATCCTTCCCTATTTGTCCTTTCCTACTGCTAATGCGTACAGAGAAAAGGCAAGCAAAGAAGGGAGTCGTCCGTGCGACTATCAGATTACTGCAAAACGTCCCTTGTCCCAAAAATGCGCATTTTTGAGGACGAAGTATGTATTTGTGGGTTAAACCTTGATTAAGAGACACTTTCATTAGAAGAGAAACCAGTTGTCAGGTTTAATTTTATATTCATCAAGTTTGGCTGGCGTTTACCGTCGCTCGCATCACATAGGGAGCTCTATTCTGGGAAGGCACCTTCACTCTAAACCTTGAACCTTCTTCTTCGGCATCATTCCGACGTACGCTCTTTCAAGACACGGCGACGGGCGTATTCGGCCATGAGAGAAATTTTAAATCTTGATTTCTTGTTTCAGGAGTACAACATGCCCCTACTCCTGCAGGACGTGTACCATTACGTAGAGATAGGTCTTGCGGCGAATACATTTCGATTTTCTTGATAAAGAATGAGTTAGCACACTAATCATAGGCCCCTCGCTTGCAGTACTTGACACTGTAGTATGATCACCAGGTCTTTTCGCAATTAATTCAAAAGCTACATTTGGTTGAGAAATCTGTCTCCAGGGGTAGTTTCGCTCCCCATCACGGATATGACACCTGTTCGGGGCCCGAACGCTTGCAGCACGCGCTATGGGCACTTGTGCGCAAATGATTTCTTTTAGGCCGCAGAAGCCGCATCAGGGTACAACAGCATCGTTGTGCGAAACCCGTCAGGGCTTGTACTTGGCTGCTTAGAAGCGGAAGGGTCGTCAACGCAGGGTCAGTGAGTACCAAGCAGCAGTGCCTTCGCTAAGTTTGATGGAGCGTACGGAAAGCTGCAAGGGCCCTGGATGCGAGGAAGACTACAAAATGTTAAAACAATTGATTAGCAATATCAATAGTTAGCATGAACTCGTAAGTACGTAGATGACTAAATAATACATCTCAAAAAGATTCGTGCGTATGGACCTTTCCAAACTCTGAACAAACATCTGCTTGCATGGACGGACGAAATTACCTGAAATCAGAAGTTGCACCTTCCCACCACCTCTGCGTAGAAGCGTAATGCACGGCGCACACTCGGACCAAATCGATCGATGATAACCAAATTATGCTTTGACTCAGTTCAACGGGAATATGTGTTTCGAAGGCATATCGAAGTCCACGGATGGTGCAAAAGTCCGCTCCTCCACATGATGCCACTGGGAACTGCTCGCTGCGAGCTGAGCTGAACGCGGACATCCGAATGCAGGTGACAGGCCTTAGTGATGGGTAGGCCTATGAGTACCCCATGACACACTACCATTTTTGATTATGCCACATGAGTTCGGAGACAATGCTACGGCGTCCGCGGAAGCCGACGTGCGCTCGTAGAGCCTGGCGAGTTTGGAGAGTATGCAAGGGTATCCTATGCGGGGACTGCATCGCAGGGCGACAAGGCTAGTCCGAAAGTATCACAGCCCAGGGTGGAAAGTCCGCATCGCAAGGCTTAACAGTGAGACATTGACAGGATGATCGTGAGCTGACAGAGGCACTGCAGCAAAAGCGAATCGACCTCTGTGCGGTGCAGGAGACAAGGTGATCCAGTTCTAAGTCGAGAGACATTGATCGAATCTTTAAAGTCTTGGTGGCGAATCGCATACCACTACTGACGTGGCATCGGAGACCGTTTGATGCAGATTGTTCTGCTATCGAGCAACTGTAGCAAGCGACTGTACCACTTCTTTTCTGCGTATGCCCCACAAACAGGACAGCATGCACCGAGCTATGAAAGAACGAGCTCTGGTCTCTGCTTGAGGAGAAGACAGCTGAGATACCGTCAAATGACGCTATCATTGTCGCTGGATGACCTTAACGGGCACGTGGGCGCAACGAAAGACGGTTATAGCTGTCATGGTGGGTTCGGTTATGGAACACGTAATGGCAATGGTGAGCGCATTATAGAGTATGCAGAAGCTCATAATCTGACCATCGTTGGCACAAGGTTCCGTAAACGCGACTCGCACCTAACTGCCTACTATACCGGAAGTGCCAGAACACAAGTAGACTTTGTTCTAGTCATGCGCTGCGGTCAAGGGCTCATCACAGCGCGATGGTCGTGCTGTATGAGACCGTCACGCAATATCGTTCGCTGATTTGTGCGCTGAATATTGCGTTGCCTAGCTTGAAACAGGTCCAGCGGTGTGGTTCCGAGAGAACTAAATGGTGACGTATGAAGGAGAAGGAGGCAGTTGTGATCTTTTGTATTCGGCTACGAATTGTCACAGCTGTCAACGAAACCCTGGAAAAAGCTTTCAAGTATGTAAATCAGGCCGCTCGCCCCGAACTCGGCCAAACGAAGCTTGGAAGGCGTAGAAGTGATGAACAGGCATTGTTGTTGACCCACGATCTCAGACTTAAGGCTAGCGAAAAGAAATGCGCTATCACTTGTTTCTAAGAGACAAGTCAACTGACAATTGGCGAAAGTATCAGATGCAAAGATTGCGACAAATAAGACTGTGGCTGCTGCTCAATGACGAAGAGGCGTTCTTCTGATGTACCGAAAGAAGGTGCTAAGGCGATGGCGCGACTACTTTGAGGAAGTTTCCACAGTAGAATATACACACCCACACCTAGCCATACTTCATGGCTCACCACTACACGGTCCTGCCTGGAGGATAACCATAAAAGAAACGGAAGCGGGCCTTAAAGATGGAGTCAGGCAAGGCAACAGGCAATGACGACGCGGCGGCTGGAATATGGAGGTTACACCGCTGGTATTCTGCTGGATGGTTGACGAAGTTCTTCAACCAGGTCGTTGCAGAGAAGAAGATGCCCGGAAAATGGCAAAAGAGCACAAAGTTCCAATCTGGAAGAAAAAGGCAGTCCTGCAGACTGCTCAAATTATCGTCCAATTCGCTTGCTCTCGCACAGCATGAAAATTTTTGAGCGAATTGTTGATAATCGCATCCGTGATATAGTCCAGCTCTCTACCAACCACTGCGGCTTTGTAGCCTACTGTGGCACCATTAATGCCATTCACGCCACTCGCCTCGTGCTGGAGGAACATTGCGAGAAGCAGAAGCATGCCCATCTAGCCTTCCTTGACTTAGAGAAAGCATTCGATCGTGTCCCGCGTGAAGCTATATGGCACGCCTTATGAGAACAGGCGTTTCGGAAGAAATTGCGTGGGTGCGCTATTCGCCTTCAGAGTATAAAGCAAAAGAATCGATAGGAAGCGGCCGCTGTACTAAATACATGGATATGGGAGTGCATAGATACACACACTACATCTACCGTAGCGGTTGTTGGCTCAATGCCTACGGGAACTCGTCCGAAATTGCTTATTGGGTCATGAAGAACGAAGGCTTTTCTTCGCAGATTTTCGAGCTACTCGCTTTGATATCTCGCCGTCCTCCCACTATGTAGCAACTGTGCTACCATTTATGGCCGAGTACCAAGTCATGCCATATGCCTTTAATCAGTGCCTGACAGCTATCAGCGATGTCCCCATCAAGCCCTTTTGCCTCTTCCGAAACTCAATCATTTAATCATCAAATCATCAATCATATATGCAGTGGAAAAGAAATGTAAGAACGCACCTGTCATCACTATTTAAAGTGCCGTTCTTCAAAGTCTTGACTGCCACTTCTACCGGTTTCGTGAAGAGCCCAAGAGTGAGCGTTCCTTTGAACACTTCGCCGAATGCTCCATGACCAAGTGAAGTATTGGTGGTTATCTGGAGCAACTGTTTCATATATGCCTTTAAGCACGGATCAAATCAAAAAATCGCATTTGTCCGTAAGGCCGCATTCATACTTTGTGGCAGCAACCACCAACGTTCACCAGCGGCCAACAGCGTCCAGGAGTGGAAAGAATGGGAAGTAGGAGGGTAGCAGACAGTCACTCTCCTTTCTCCGCATACTCTACCAGCAGTCTGCTACCCTAATATCTCTCATTACTCTTCACTTCTGAACGCTGGTAGACGCTAGATCGATATCTATACTTCCCTAATGGCTGGCGGACCCTCCAAACGCTGCTGGTGTCGTTGCCGCAAAGTATATACGGACGCAGACCAACAGTTGAAATATCTACTGAACTTTTTTGACGCCTCGTGAACTGAGTGCACAAGGACTCTGGCTGCTTTGCAACAGTTGATAGCTTGGCCGTGCCAAGATTTTTTATAGGTTTTTTGGAAGCGCTTAACATACTCGCATATATACATTGAATTGAATTAGTCATCTCATAAAGACTAGTATACTCCAAGCTTCAAACATAACAAATCCTTCATGGTAGCTTTACGAGAGCTCATCAGTCTCAACTGGCGAACTAGAAGCATGCCCCCGGCCCCACACAGAATACTGCCCTTCAAAGACTAGGTAGCGCAGAACTGACTGAACGTCTCTTGCAAGGGTTCGGAGCTGACTACAGCGTTACTATCACCTGTTCATGATACAATTGCCACTGCTCGCGAGTGAGATAACTCTTCAGGATGACATTCTTGCCGTACACAGGTTCTTTCAATGCCATGTGATATCTTATTAGGGTTTGTATGGTCTGCAAAGTGACTCATTTATTGTATAACACCTACGGTGTGTAACAAAAGTATATAGCCTTCCCATACTTCCACTCCACAGGAACAGCTTTGATTATGGTATTACTACTCGATTACAGATGTACGTATACTCCACTCCGCACCATGTTAGGGCGACTTTACATTTTTTATTGTTGAAAAAATTTCTTTGTATCAAAGATATGTGGACATTTGAGAAAAATAATAGCTCGATATCATAGTATCACAGCTCCTTTACAATTTTGCGTAGTGCTGTCATTTCATTCGGCACCTCCTTAACGAGGTTTCTCACGGTAGGCCCGTTTGAGGTGATGAACCACATTGCACCGTTGACTGCTGTGAAAGATCCGCTGAACCGTGATCTACTGCCGTTTTCAAAATGATACAGAGTGAGTAGAACTATCCAGACGCTCTATTCCCCAAGAACAAGGGAAGAAGAGCCTGATCAATTTCAGATGACTCTCGGTATGTTGGTCAAGAGAACACTTCACAAAGTTTGCTGACCCTCAATAATGATCATTTTGGGAGCTCTTCTATCAAATTATTAGTGACTAATAATTAATGAGTGTGCTTCGTAAACTAATGTGGAAAACCTCCCAGGTTGGTTACTGAGGACGAGATGACAAATAAGAGTTCAATTAGAGTGAAAAAGCTACGACATCATCACATTAGGTGACTCTGGGGAACCCTGTCAAGATTAAAACGGGCAACATAGCATTACATTTTCTAGTCAGATAATTTTCTTTGTTGAGAAAAGTTCAGTATTGACGCTTCGGACGGATGGACGGATAACGCGACATTGAGGTGGCCCTCGTTAGGTAGCTCCTGATGTCTTCGGAAAAAACTTCGGAGGGGATTTGCATTTGGTTTGCTATGGCCCTGGAAGAAACGGAAAAGTGTAGCCTTCTGTTCCGACATGAGGCATAAAAAGTCGGGAATAAGTAGCTGATTCACATTTTTCGCTTTTTTTGGGAAATGGGCGATGCAGCAAAAATGTTCTACAGAAGCAGGATACCACAGTTCCAGCAAAGGAAAGGTTCCTGTGCATTGCTGTTGATATGGTGAGCTTGCCACATAGTTCTGCTGACCATTGTCACTAAAAACGTTAGGAGATCACAGCTCAGCGCGCCTTTCACAACAAGTGCAAGTTCGTCGCCTCAAGGTGGCAACATTCGCTGTTCGAGACGCTATACCCACGACAACGTGAGGAACCTCGTTCAGAAGGGCGCCAAATAAAATGACCGAACTAGCGCAAAATCACATAGGAGCTACCAGACTTTAATCTCGAAGATGAATTAATTTTTGCTCAACTGTCCATACAGTTTTGCTACAAAGAAACTTCTTCCTATTATAAAAAAATGTAAAGTCGCTCACAAGATGCTACGAAGTAGAATGAGGCTCCCGTACCCGGGAAATTGATTAGTGGAGGTCCCATTTCGCCAAAACGAAGACGCTCCTGTAGAGATAAAATTTGGGGTGTCCACATACTTTTACTACCCACTGTACAGTTAGAAAAATATGTTGAATGACGAAACAGTGTGGATTTTTATGAGTATCGCTCCGTATGCCATGAAGACATGACTGAAGCACTAGATAGAAAGTGAACGTACGTTAAAGCAGTAGGTATGCAGCCAAAAGAGATCTTTTGCTTCCTGTATTTTTAAGTGTATTTTTCCACCATCGTGGTTTACTGTTACTATATAGGACTGAAATGGTCAGACGTAGCATTATTTCGAATGCATACATATTTTGACAGTAAGTACATATGTGCGGCAAAATTACAAGGCTCTCGTCGCTCACTCATGAAGGAGGGTGTTCTTCTTTTATTATTAAGTGCGTTGAAGCAGTAGGTCTGCAACCAAAAGAGCCAGTAGGTCAGGGATGAGACGAACCATTACTCTTTTCAAGTAATGGGTCGGCCATAAGTAATGGCGTTTTTTCCCACTCGAAATATCGCGCTGAAGAAGAAAAGTTTTGCCACTGACCATGAGTTACTATACCGTTTTGCAGAGAATTCCTTGCCCTACACGATAGTGTCTTAGTTTTCTTCAAGTTTCTCTTTCCACTAATATTTTAGTGATAAAAATGGAGTGTCAGGTCGACGAAATTGAGCATTTTCGACAGCCTCTCTTTTATGCCTCTAATTAAAAAGCTGAAGCCGCATGGGCGCAGCTGCTGCGTGCGTAGCTGAAAGGCTACGTCTCTCAGGAATACTAATAATACTTTAAGTGATTCGAAGTTTCCAGTTTCGACCTCATAGACAAGCATCGAACCTAATGCCCTATTCTGTCCAGCTGAGAGCTTGCGGAATTACCTTATTAACTGAGAATCATGCCAAAGATTGAGGGATCGTTAGAGGTTACAGAATGCTTTCTTATCATTACCAGGCATCACTTCTCTTCAGTGGAGAAGTTCAAAATCTAGTGGATGGGCTCCGCAGGCGAGATGCCCATCCCCGCGCGATGCTCTTTTACAAGGTCCGAATTCCCACCACTTGATAGCTTGAACCAACTTCAAGCTGTCATAAGACGCATCTTTCTTTGGTCATATATACCACAAGGTTTGAGCTTCTTCTGTAGATTGAGAGCCGAGATAAATTCAAAAAGTAGTTGTCGAAAACTCACTTTTGGGTCGACCCGAATTTTCCTTTCAATGAAATAAAAATCATGAAACAGTAGGTAAACAACCAAATACAGTCGTCATCCTTGCACTTGATAGGGGCGTGTCGGCGAGAAGGAGCGTGCACACTGTTTGAAGCCTTCTCAGCCTTTTCGTTGAAACGCGTATGCGACAAAAAGTGATAGAAAACGAGTAACACGAAGGATATAATACAGTAATGTCACTTCCTGGTTCAACGATTGGTGCAGTACGGGTGCGGGCGACCGCGCCGCACGCAGCCGCACTGACATTGACTATCAAGTGCAAGGATGACGACTGTATCTTATAGGAAATCACCTATCAAATAGTTCACAAAATATTGTGAACAACTGTCGTTTTTATATAAAAATTGCGTGACAAAAAAAAACGCCATCACTTATGAGCCAACCCAATAGTTTTTCTAACCAGCTGCTCAAATCAGGTCACATCGTTGTTGGGGAATCCCCAACAGGGGGGGGGGGGTCGTATTTGGCCGCCAGGAGAGGGGGGTCGTATTTGGGCTGAGAAAAATTTATTTTGATAGTTGATTTTTCTCGCTTCATGGACGTTGTAAAGGGGGGGGGTCGTACTTGGTCATTTTTGGGAGGGGGGTCGTATTTACGTTTTGGCGTTGTAGGAGTGGTGGTTGACTTTTGGTGATTTTCCTGTTTCATGCGTACTATATGCCCCCCCCCCGCTCGACGGCTCGATTCGATGAGGAAGGACAGAGGGCTGGGGGGGTCGTACCAACTCCCCAAAAAAAGGGGTCTCGTACAGACTCGACTAAAATCCCCAACCAATGATGTGCCCTGGCTCAAATTCGACCTGCGCCGGAACAGTAGATGCGTGTAGTGGTGTTCTCGAAATGCAAAGTGAGGGTTCGGAACAGAAAATCCGAAGAAAAGGAAAAAATTTGTTGCCGTGGTCCCATAATAATAATGATTAGAAAAGGGTGTATGTCAAGCGCTGAATGTCTGATCACAGAGCCTGGACCCTTGTCGAGCTTCCCCGCGAGCTGACATCCCTGCTGCAACTGCTGCACGAGTTATGTCCGATAATTTGAGGATGGTAGAGCGTTTGAATATGGGCCACGGAGCAGTACCGATTTCATGCCTATAGCGGTAGTGTTCTCCACATAAATGTCATTCTGTGAAACACAACTGTGAAATCGCTCCCGGCCTAAATGAAATAATGGGTGGGTCTCGAACTCCAAGCCAGAATTCACAAGCTCAATTTTGTATGAATGGAGATGAGAAGCCGCTCGAAATCTGCCCTGAGGGGTTACGAGGGCCCAAGGGATAATCATCATGACAAAGGATTTCTGAACTGTGGCTTGGCGGCTCACAGAGAGAAAAAAAATCGTCGCTGTCGTTGTATATTGCCTGTTTATCAGCACTCATTTCGACAAAAGGATGGTACCAGCAACTACAAGGAGGTCACCGTTGCTCGCCATTGTGCCAGACTGCGAGTAACTGTATTGTTGGGCAGTGCTACGGCAGAACCAATAATGAGACCTGTGTTCAATTACCTCCTTCACCCGACATTAAGCCGTGCGATTTTTAGTATTCTGGTCAGTTTAAGGCACTGTCCGATGGGATACGCTGCAACGTTCTGTCATTTATCGAGAATGGCATCAGCAGCGATTTACTCGCACTTGTTGAAAAAACGAAGTACCAGAGGTCCAAACGCTTTCGGGGCACTGGGAGCGGGTCATTGATGAAGGAGGGATCTAATTAATTCGAAGCCAAAATAATATAATTGCATCTGCTATCCTTTTTGTATTGCATGAATGAAACCTTGAAGATTTTTTAAATGGGTGACCTAATGATTCACTTTGAAGATTCAATCCGCGTCGGGACATCAAACATTCCCTCAGCATTACCAAAATTGAGAGCCGTGAACTTTGGCAGCGCATCGTGCTTCGAAGTAAAAAAAAGAAACCTCTCTGCCTCTGACTTCAGCTTTTCTCACAAGAAACTCGCCGCTCTTGGTGAGTACTTTCTCAGATTCTGCTCGAGCCATGTAGCCATGATAGAATGGCTCATCTTCCAGAGCTGCATCACTTGAACCGTGCCATTCAGTTATCTAAGCACAAATATTATTTACTGAATACCTAAACTTTCGAAAAATAAGAAATGGCACAAATCTATGAGATTCCTCTTCACTTGGAGAAGAGGTTGAGCTGGAGGATCCGAGAACTATGATTTCGGATACGATGATGGAAAATGAGATTTTCCGGTGCACTTTTTCTGCTTTTTTTGTGTTTACCCATTACCATGTGGTCTATCATAGCCACTCAGTGATTGCTCAACCGTGCTTC